TTAAGATATATATCTAAGTATATTGACCACTTCAATAGATCCTCCAGCGACTACTTTTAAAGATCAATTAGCTCCTTTTTAATGTACTATGTAGACGGTTTAGTCTTAGTCCGTAGTTAAGTTTTTGCAGGTACGGGTCTACCAACCTACGGCGTTAAGTCGCAAGTGGTCGTGGTGGTAGCATTGGAGGTTGCTCTGCGCGCTGAAAGGGTAAGGAATGTTATTAGTAGCGATTTATAATTTTTTTACGCGAAATACGTTTATTTCTACCTACAAGTTGCCTTGCAATATAAAAAATAACGTTTTAAATTTAACACATTTTTTGTTAATAGTATAGTAAAACAATATACGCTTCACTTATAATCATCATAATCGTCTTTATGTAATGATGGCTTAATGCAAACCTATCCGTGACATAAGCTAAGTAAATTGTTAGATTTCTTTTCAAATTAGCGTTTCATTTAAAAATTGTAGTATGCAAAAGGGGCCCGATGAAAAGTTACTTGTAGATATTAATAAAGATAAATCAAGCCTTATAACCGCATCAGGATACGGTGTAAAGGGGAGCGGTGGTTACATATAGTACTAGGAGTTAAATGAGAGTTAAGCCTAATTTTATTGAAGCTACAAATTTTTATGAAGATATTAATTCTATACTCCTTAGGCCCTAATATGCGAAGATTAACGGCGCGGTCCCTCATAGCTTTGTTTATCAAGAAGACCCCTGCTTCACTTGCGTTTACCGCGATGATTAAGGACATTTAAAAAAAAGGGAGTTGTAATACAGGAGTATTAAAAGAAAATTGCAGACTTAAGCAAAACCAATGGCACGGCAAAATGTAAAACCTTATATTGACTCTTACTTAGGAAGTGAGTAAGAAGAGAAAAACTTATACAAACTTAATAATAAAAAAAAAGGTGCTATCCAGGCAAGTTGAGGAAATTGATACCTACTTAAAATTTTTTATGTTTAATAGAGATGTGAAGACCTCTTAATTCATTTTTTAAATAAATATAAAAGCCTCAATTCTGCACATTACTTCTAGTTAATGTCTAGCTAATTATATTATTAATAAATAATACGCGGGGCACTACTTACTTACGACTTAAAAAGTTAACTCGCCATTTTCCTTTTGCCTCAATAATTAAAGTTAGGGGTTCTAATAGTGTAACAAAAAAAATATAGTAAAAGAGAGTGTTAGGGTTAGAATTAGGGTTTAGGAAATATATGAAAAAAATGAAAATTTCAAATAAATCTTTGAGTATAACGTGAACCAGAGGGCGCTCAACATCATTCCCTTTCGGGTGGGTATCCTTCAGCAGTGGTTATCCTCTGTTATACTCGAAAGAGTCTGAATGTTTTTTTGGTGATTAAATCTTTCAACCTAACCAATTAAAAGTCACTGTTTTTGATACTTTTTATAAGGAACTAAGTGTCAACAAGTTTTACTAAGATTTATGGTCAAAAAACAAACCTTTTAAGGTAGCAGACTTTTTGTAAGGTAATATTATTCTGGATTATGATATCCTTTCTAACTCTTTTACTCAAAGAATATAACGTAGAACTCTCTTTTTAACTCCGCTCGGACATAAACGGACTTAAAAATAACAGCACTTTTATCAGAGACGTTGGTACTCTTGAGATCATTGTAATTATCTGAGGAGGTATTTTTTAAGCTTTCTAAAACAGCTTTAACGGTGCGGGTCATTAAAAGTTTAGATACTTACTAAAATAACCTCTTTTCAGAAATCTGTCATAGGGATTCTCTTTGAGATCCCAGAAACCCTCGTTGCGTACACAGGTCCTTAAACCTATAGGATTTTTCCGTAATAAGTCATTTAAATGTACTAGAAGGAGGAGCACTGTTGCAGACTGTGTGAAGATATAAACAAAGTATTTTCGTGCACCCCCCAGACCATTTTATTGATTTCCTTTTTTAAAATCAATTTTAAAAAGAGATTAGAATTGTCTTTGTTTATGCCAAAGTCCAGGTAGTTCAAAGCATCATGTTTCGCAAACTCCATCAATTGAATGTTAATGTTATTTCCCATATGGGCAGGGTGTCGGCCACCTCTCTTTATAAAATTTGCTATGGGGTGTAAATTTATGAAATTCACCATTTTCAAAGCTAAATAAAGTGTGGCTAGAACTGGAGAACCTAATTACCCATAAGTACCCCGTTTAATTGTTAATATACTATATCATTAAAGGTAAAAAAAAATATTATATCATTTTAAAGATAGTGATATATTATGGGAAAAGAAGAGATTTATGTTCGACACGAATTTCAATACTCTATCGTATACCATAAATCTCTAATTAGTATGCTTGTGTATAAAGCTACTGTCTGGGGAACAAATCAAATTATATCGATCTCATCAAGAACAAGACTATCCAGCATAGGTTTCAGGCTTTCTGAATCTTTTATAAAGGAACGAACAGACTTTGTTAGAGCCTAAAGTTTAAAGTGTAACCATTTGGCAAGACCAGCATTGGGATTGTTACCCTATGCCTCAAAGTCTGAGAGCAGGAGACGTTCTTTCTTGACCTTGTTTATATATTTTTAAATAGCATAAAATAGCTCAGTGATATTTCAAGTCGTATTAAGGAGGACTTGAGAGAACTTATGGGCATACTGATCATAAGCATAAAACTTCATAAGCATTAGATGATAGACACGCTTAACTTTTGACTTTGAGTAGCCCAGTAACGATTTGCCTTTACCCCTTTTGTAACTAAATGGAAGATTTAAATGGTTTAAGACCAATGCGTATACTTTTCCTTAATATCATAACTGCATGGTCTTGAATATTGTCTGTAATTAAGAATTCAGGGTACTGGTCTTTTTGATATCTTTAATTACAATTGGTGATAAATAACTTTTTAACTCTTTTTCTTTAAAATATATTTTTCATAGGATAATTTTTATGAGTATTTTTTTACTATTATAACGTTATTCTAAAATTAATTTTTTGAGGTTTCTTTTATATTTTTTTTTGGGAAATTTTAAATTTTTAAATCGTTAAATATTATTTTATATTTTTCATATTAGTATAATTTAAAAATTATTTAGTTATTAAATTAAATTTATATATAATTCTATTTTCTTTTGATTTTTGGTATTTGAATTTTTAAATAAATTTTCTAGGAAGCTTTAGATATAAATATGTAATTATAAATTTCAAAGTAAATTGAATTACAGCTAATTAATTACTATAGTTATATAAAATAAATCAAATCTAAATTTATTGATAATATATATTTTTTTACTATAAAGTAGAAAAAGAAACTTTTATTATTTTGATATTTTTATTGAAAAAAATTATTTAGTAATTTTTTTTATTTTTTTCTTAACTCTTAACTTTTTATTAAATTTTTAATAAAAATATAAATATATATATATATAATCTTTTTAAAACTAATATTTTCTGGTACTCGATCAAAAAAAAAACACCGGACTTACGAGCTCAGATTGTAGTGTTATTTCTTTTTTTATGTGTTAAAAATGTATAATAAGTGAATTGTATAAGTATACTAAATATTATTTAACACTAAGAAATTAAATATTTTATTTATTAAACTATCCCGTATATACTGCTACACACAACATAGACCTAGTCCGTACACAGCCAGTAAGCTAAAGCAACAGACGGAGAGAAAAGAGAAGGCCATCAAAAACTTATTCTTCCATGTGACTTTTATATATCTATCCTAACCCTTAACCCTTACTTTCTGTAGTTACACATGTGCCAAAGCAGTCTCACCTTTATATACTAATATATATCAACTTTTATTTATAAATTTTGACTCTTCCGTAATTTATATTGAATTCTTCAAGTTATTATGTTTTAAAAATTTATTAAATTCTATATATATATATATATATATATATTTATATCATGTTACCTTCGCTTTCCTTTACGATAAATAAAACAAAGTTCTAGGCGCCCAATGTGTGCTGGGCGATAACGTGCACCTTGCAGTGATGTTAAACTCTCTAGCTTGGAAAGTTAAAGAGATAAAAGATTAATAACTCAAATTATCAATTTTTAACTTCTGATATATTAAGAACTTTACTGCAGCCTTGACAAAAATAAACTACCGTTTTTATCAGGTAATAACCTACAATTCTTCCACATCTGCGGAGACTATCGCTTGAAAAGCTTATTAAATCGCACCCTGATAGCTCCCTTTTAGATTTTAGTCATAGTTAAAAAATTAGTTGAATTTTATTAAAAATGACCTGTGCAGGCATAAATAGGTCAATATTTAGTTAGCAATAGTTTTTAAACTTAGGATTTCTCATGAGTTTCATTAAAGGAAAGTTTAAAAACATAAAATATGGGACATGAAAAATTGTGAGCTATACTGAGGCTCAAGCAATTATTACGAAACGAAATCAATAGCCTTCGTTTAGTACAAAGCAGTCAAAGTGTACTCACAAAACGACGAAGTATATCGTTAATTCTTGACAACCTGGAGGGAAGAGCTTTGGGAGAAAATGTGCGAAAATTAGTAGAATCATCCAAGGAAACATGATTGCGAACAATGAATAAGGTAAAACAGTTATAATCCGCTAAAAATACTTTACCTATACTCATAGTTTTTTAAAATTTTTAATGTTATGATAACGATATAGGAGTTCTGTGGTTTTTCTTAGTTTAAGATGTTACATTTAAGTTTAAGTTTAAAAATTTTGGTAAAAAGTTACTTTTTTTTTTACTCACATTTTAAAGGGTTTTTTTTCATATAATTTATTCTCCCACTGCTTAGATTTTACTTAAATAATTACCACTCGGTCAAACGACCATTTCTCTTTTTTTACTAATAACGATTAATACCAGCTACTTTTACAATCATCTAATCTCGGCATTTGAGCATTCTTTTTTACAGATAATAGAAATTTTTAATAGAATTCTAAGTTTGTAGTAAGTTAAGTATATGCACTTTTTCTAATTTATATTGATCTAATCATCAATTTATATTATATGTTCATAAAGAGATTTAAAACGAAAACCAACTAACTCTTATAGGATAAGAATACTTTTAATGTCTCAAGCATTTGATTTGGATGTAAGCGTACATGAATGCTTGTTTTTCTCTTAGTCTTAACTATTCACTTTAACTTTTGACTTTTTTTAAGACAAATCTCTTATTCATTCTTGTATAGCATCAGCAGAGGATGGCTCAGTTGCCAACTAAGCGCTATGTGTGATTTATAAAGCCTTTATATTTAAATTTATTCTTTATTAATATGAATATATGCTAGATGTTGTATACCTGGAAGAAAGTCAACCTACTCTTATTGAAATAATAAAGTTCCCACCCTAAGAAAATTTATATTTTTTGTAAGTAACCTTATTAGGACAATTGGTTAAATCTTAAAAGGATCCGTTTATTTCTTAGAATCCCCCTTTTATGAAATTGTATCAGCTTTATGAGGTTCCCGTCAAATATTAGTAACCTCTGCACTATTGAGTGGTGTTTAAATATAGATTTTTGCACACCATTAATTAACCAAATAATTTCGTTAATGAATATAAAAATAAAAATCGGTCTTAGAAAAGAAAATTAAAATAGGTTCTCTATAACTCAGTACTAATTAAAGATTAGAACAAGTTGAATGTTTCTTTAAAAGTAGTCATTCACGTCATCGGGCTTTGATGAACTTTGCTAATTTGGTCAGAATGCTTTTCTTATACTCATTAAAAAAAAAAAAATAGTTATATATTGATATTAACTCTTAAACTTTAACTTTTGCGTATTACATAAAACAAGTAACAAGTAAATAATATTTGGCTGTTAGGAAAGAGGTTCTATAATAATTTTATGCGAGAAAATTTTTTTTTAAAAGAGGGTCCAAGTTTATTTTAGAATCATTATACTTAGAAGTATCGACTTATAGGTGTTTAAATTTTAGCTTTGTTAAATATATTATAAACATACTTAATTTATTTTTACCTTATTTTATAGAAAAACTATTTCACTAATCTATATGGTACCTTATGCCAGCATTACAGTCACTACAAGTGTTCAAAAAAAAGAAGTTCTACACAGAAAGCAGTTTTACATAATTTTTAATACAATTAATTTTAAAAAAAATTTAATAAAGATGCACCAGAAAAAAGTTTTTGAGATTAGACAGTTTTGATCTGGGTTATATAAGGGTCTTGTTTCTACTTATCTACCCAAACAAATTTTACTATAAAGGTACAATAATAGAGTGTAAATATACTAACACCGAAGCGATGAAAGTATTTAGGCCTGTTGCTGAGGCTATTTTCCGACTAAAAAATCTATAAATTTTTTAGATGGTTGAATGTCAATCGTTAAAGGCCACAAAAAAGATTAAAAAAAAATTTATATAATATTAGACTTTAAAAAGCTTAACGAATACAAAATTTTCATAACTCGAAACTATTGTATTTTGATAGTTAAGAGTTAAACTAAAGTAGTTAAGTGAAAATTGGAGCAATGCTTCATTAAAAAATCTTTTTTTAATTAAGTTCGAGCCCGATGAATTATTAGACAGAAAAAATAATAATCTTGAGCAACCCAGCAATCCGAGCTTTCACTGCATTTTTCTAAATTATCCGAAAGAGATCCCTCAGGTCTACTTTTAACAGACAATGTAAGCAACTAATATGGAAACGAAATAGCACTCTTTGTGTTATGTCAGGCGCTTACATGCACGGAGCATCGATTTAACTGGTTAAAAACGATGAGAACGAGATGTAATATATGTTTGTTTAAAACTCCCTATCTTCTCGCGTAGTGTTTAAACTATAGCGCCCTATAAAAGGTAGCGAAGAATAACAAGAACCGTAGATATACAGCTTTATTGCGTTGCTCGCCAGATATACAAACAAACGCACTGAATCGACTATTACTCAAAAATGCACCCTCGTGGCACCTTTAACACGCAAGAAAAAGCTCCGTGCCTAATCTCTCCAGCTATTTATACCCTTAAATTAAGGCACATGCTAGGATTAACCATGAACATTCAAAAACATTCTACTAACATACATTAATAGAATAAGGAAAAGATTAATTTTTGTGTTTTTGAGAATCGTTAAAATTGGTTTCAACATTAAACAGGTCTCTAATATATTTGTCGAGTTCGTTAAGACCTTGGATCTTTCAAACATCAATTTTTTTTTTCCTGTCATTTCTGTGGACAACACGCAACTTTTCAAGGTATTAAATATTACTAATAAAACTTAGGTCCTTTTTTTAAAATATTATTTGTAAATAAATTAATTAGTTTATTTACAAAAAAAAAATTTCCAAGTAAAGATGGGTGAGAAATTAATTCTTGAAAGCAGTTGGTATAACAACCTTCCGTGGGACTCGGCGAACTTTTTGCAATGTATTTTTTATAAATTAGAGTCTTATTTTTTCTTTTTCAAGCTCATCACAATCTTTAATAATGAAATTAGCGCAATCTTTAAGGTTCTTTTACGGTTAAATATTCATTTTTACATTTTACTTTAAAAGTTTTTTTTACAACTACACGCGGATGTCGCTTTGGAATAATTTGATATTATTATAAAATTAAATTAATAATAGCAATATCTATTAATACTTTAAAATACGTTCACAAACAGAGTTTTGCGAAAAACTTTGGGATTCTACGTGATCCTTAACATAAACTTTAGAAAATGCAAGTTATTTACTCATACAACAATTTATAAAAAGTATTATTTAAACTTTTTTAAGTTGAATATATGAACATTTATATTTGTATAGAGGAGGGCTAATTGTTATATATATGATGAAGTGGCCCCAGCACGACATTCTTTTGTATTTACATGTGGCCTGTGCACCTCGACTTATAACCTCAGCTTTACGTTAAATTTTTAACCTATTGATATAGCGCTTTATTTAATATATATTTATATATTTAAAAACTCAAACTTCTTAAAACTAATTACTGACTATTTATAACATAAACTTTGCTATCATGGAGTCGCCACTCTGCAGCCACTGCTAGTTCGCGAGAAAATATTACTAAACTGTTGGCTGAGAATGTTAATCTTAAAAAAGAACTAGAGACTCCAAACACAAAATTGGCTCGCATGGAGAAAGCAAGTTGCGACAAAGTAATGTCTAAAAGACGTAAGGAATTTTTTGGGCCAACCATTATAAAAAATGAAAATAATAACAATCATTATGTACCCCCCAACTTCTTGAAAAACCTTGCTTTTATAAAAAGGAGGTTATCGAAGACAGTGTTATGGTAGAGACCACATTAGACTTAATAGATAGTAGTATTAACCATACCAACAGCACTAATTATACAAATAATAAAAGCTGTAACTACAGTAAAAAAAAGAGTTTAAAAATTACAATAACAGTAGTGCTGAGTATAGTAACTTTACTAATAGTAAAGATAGCAAATGCATAACTATTAATTCTAATAATAACAGACCTAATCATATCTTTAACATCTTTTCTAAGGACAAATTAAGTGCTAGAGATAACTATGCTAGTCGTGGTAATAATACCAATAATAATAGTAATACTACTAATAGTGATTAATAATACAAAAACTAAGAATGAAAACAGTATTAATTACAATAACATTTATAATAGTAACTCCCCTGTGAGCAATTAGCCTATAATTAATAGAATCCCTCCGATTATTATTCGTAACAAACTAGCTTGGGAATTTGTTAAACAACCAATTATCGACAACAAACTAAACTGGACCCGCATATTCCTTACGTCGTTTCTAAAATCAGATAATAGCCGTTTGTATCCCTTACTATGCAGGAAAAGCGAACTGTATATAAAAAACTAGTTTCTGTTATACAAATTGGTTATGCGCCCGTTGATGGTTCATGTCTTTATGGCCTGAGCCTACTCCTCAAGCAGACATCTATATCGACTACGAATACTACAAAAAGCGCCTTCTGAGAATGCTAGTGACGTCTCTTAGGTTTGTGCGCAACAATCAACTACATAGAGAGTGTCACCTCGAGCCTACTTAAGAATATCTTTATAATATTTCCCGGAACTGGTTTATTAGAGCCAGTATTCACCACAATGTACTAATTAGGCAGGCACTTGATTACTTCTCTCGTTGGTACACCAACTATCCGCGGCCAAAACATTTCCTAGATTTATTAGAGGAATATGGATGATTATAGTTTATTTTATTAACCTATTAATTTATGTTAAAAAAAATATATATTTTTTTAATATAAAGGTATTAAAACTTAACCATTTTATTATATAATATTGTTATTACGTCTTCTTTGGTAATGTAGCTAAAGCGCATCCGTTCTTTTCGTTGATGGCGCAATGTAGCGTTAGGGAAGTTGTGGCTTCCGCACCCTCAAGTAGTAGAGGGAAAGTATATTAAGCAGCGATTGATTATAAATCACACCTGTAGCAAGCTAGTGCCATAAATAAATAAATAAACGACATTTTTTTTTCTTTATTTGGTGGTTTTGGTTCCCCAGGAGTCTTTAAATTTATTAAAAAATTAATTCCATGTTGAATCTATAATAACTCTATATTATAATATTTTACTGTCTATAATACACCATTATATAACTAATAGTTTATAAATATACCATTGTCAAAGAACTAATACCGGTGAAGTCAGCAATTTGATTAATTACTACTTGGATGCACTTAATATAATAATTTGTAAAAAACTGTATTAAAAGTTAAAGATGAATTGAAAAAGAAGTTATTGGAAACCAACAAAGATTTTAATCGGAAATTAAGAGTTGTAGTTTAACGATTATAAATGGGCTTATGAATTATTAATAACTTAGAATCTAATCTTAAAGTAGAAATTAAACGAAGTAGTTATAATAACAAAAGATATTGTCCACAAAGACACCCATGCAGTTATAAAAGTTCGAATGAAGTTTCCTTTGTAAATTATTTAAATTTGCAAAAAATTAAAGAAGACTTTATCATTGAAGGCTTATGAAACCAAAGGAACTATATTTTTGGAGATTCCATGGCAGATGGTAGTTATATTAGTTATAATAATGCCCTGGAGTATTTTTTATCAATAGTTGATAAAAAGCTAAATTACCTCGTATTTGGAGGAAATAAGTACTCCACACTTGGAACGGCACAGGTCTCAGTTTTCATTAACGGGATAAGGAATAATGTGTGCCTAAACTTGGTTAGACATTAGCCTCCCCATGGAATCGACTTATTGTTAAGGAGAGTATTTACGAAAATTTTAGTTATAAATTGGTAAAATGCTATACAAAGAAAACTAAATTGTAAGGAAAAAGTTTTTAAGGATATAACTGAAGTAAAAAGGAAGTCAGAAGATATCGAGAAAAATAACGAATAT